AACTTTCCATTCCCTGGATAAAAGTAATGAAAATCTTTTATCTATATAATAGTAATTCTGCTGATTGAGTTAAGTCGATTAAGTTAATCGGCGTTGGTAACAATCGCCCTAATAAGTGCTGTAATCATCATTCTGTCTTTATCGTTCATTAGACGTAAAATAAGAAAAGAACTACTGAAAAATGCTGAAAGCATCCAAATCGACCGCAGCCTTTCTATAGAAAGAGAAACATATAAAGTGTGTTAAACAAGGAAAGATTCAGTACTAATTTCACGACACGAAACAGGCCGGTATTCATAGTCGATTCTTGCATTTAAGACTGTCTTAAGTACAATCTTAAGATGTCATAAGTCAATCCGAGGACTGTATTAGCATCTTAAGACATTATTTAAGGCCGGTATTCATAGTCGATTCTTATTTCAAGACCGTCTTAAGTAATGTCTTAAGACTCTAATGCAGCCCTCTGATTGGTTCGTGACTTCTTAAGACGTTCTCGAATATAAGATCTGACTATGAATACCGATCCAAGACAGTTTTAAAATAAAAACGAACTATGAATATCGCCTCATGTTTAGCGTTTCACGGTTGGCAGGCTTTTCCCCTGACGCGACATTCATAGACAGAGACGGCGGAGATTTAGAGAGAGATGCTTGCAAACTAAGCACGCCATGTTATCCCTTCCATCATGCTCTGAAGTAGCCTGAACTGTCTGAAGTCTGAACTGTTGTCTCAAGTACGCTTCGTAATCGGGCAAGTAGAAAGTAATAGTCATAATTGAGATAAAGAGCACGTAGCAGGTCGTCCAGGATTGTCGCTACCGATCGATACTTGTCCTCACAAAGTGGAACGGACTCGTGGTGACGTGTTGCAAATGATGTATCGCGAATTCTTGAGAAGTGCCCGCCGTAAATTTGGTCACGGAAGCGCTTCCATCGCATTCTTGCAGAGAGAGACATCAGTAGTCGCATAAAACCGGGTATAAACCAATCAAACACACATAAGTGCGAACGAACACGAACCAACAATCCATCTCGACAAATCTCGTAGCGCCGGTCGTTTGTAGTCATTTGTTCACGTTTGAGCCTGTTTTTTCGCGAACGAGCTTCGAATTTCACCGTGATCGGCAAGTTGCGTCTTGTGAAAGTGAATAAAAGAAAAATGAAAAGAACACATCAAGTCCTTCAATGAGTGAAGAAAAATTGACCAATGTAGTGATGGAAATTCGAATGGACTGTATTTGAGTCGTACTTATAGAATAAACAGGCAATTGCTGAAACTAATAAATTGAGCTTAAAAAAAACGGAGGAACTGTTTTCATAATTCTCATCTTTAAAAAGTGACAGAGATCTAAAACAGGAATCGCAGGATTTGCTTGTTTCTTGGAAATAAATTAAGATCGAGTGGGTTTTTTTTTTTAATTTAAGTGAAAGTACATTTGCGCATGTGCAACAATAAGTTATACACGTGTAATTAAGGAATCGAGAATTAATAGCGAAAATACCTGAACTAATTTATTGAAACTAATTGAAACTAATTTATTATTATTTCAAAAACTCTACTATTGTCGTTCCTATTGACGTCATTGATACCAGTACTTCGTGCGCTTCGTGGTTATACTTATGTTAGTAGCGAGCACGTAGAAGTTCGTGTTCATCAACGCTCATTAATACTACCATATAATGACTCATGGACAGATAATTATCTAAGGATCGAATGTCCTCATCTTTAGATAAATTAATAATGTGATAATTTATAAAAGTAGGCTAATGAGAGTCAGCGCAGACAAACGGCGCAAATTATGAAATAATTTAATACTCTGTAGTTGGAACGATGTCTTCTTTATTTTCAAATAAGTTTATTTTCGAATAAAAAGGAGACATCATTCCAACTACAAAATATTAAATTATTTCATAATAATTTACGCCGTTTTTATCTGCGCTGATTCATTAGTCTACTTTTATTTATTTGTATGTTATTTCAAATTTGAGAGTTTGTAATTATTATTGTGATTAATCGTTATCTAATAGATAAACAAAAGAGTAAAAGAGTAAGAGCAAAGAGAATAAGAGAGTGAGCTTGAAGTCTATCGAAAGGTGAAACAATCCGTAATTATAATCTAAAAAATTGCCGGCTAAAATAAAAGTTTATAAACGACATTTTACTGAATTTTTTGAGAACTATCTTGTTATAGTATATTTTGAGTCGCGAATTTTGGGTCACCCTATATAAGCGGCACTCACATTTCTGAATCATTTCATCATTGTTAAACAAGGATATAAATAATGCTTCGCTTCCGAACGTTGTGAGTGTGAACCGGACTGTAGCCATAGGTTAACCCGCGTTGATGTAGGTTCAGTTAACGGACGGGAAAGCTTCGTAAAGTCGACGAACAAACCGATTGATGCAACGTACAGCCGTTGTTGCGAGTTGCGGTTCGGCATAAATAGCCGGTGCGTCATAGTGTTTACGTCGCGTAATAATCGCGCATCCGACAACTATTCATAACGGAAGAATTAAGAAAGCCGACGGCGGCGGTCCGAGTCGATGTATATTTAGCCTGTCGAAGTCGCAGATTTCACGGGACGCAACTGTCAGAGTATATCCACACAAACTTGCGTAGCCGCATAAACGTATGCATAAAGAAAATTATCCAATCGCATTTCTCCTATAAAGACGCACATAAAATGTGATTGTGGCTATGCAAGTTATATGGATATATCCTCATCCACCGGAACGTGCCGTCTCCCACCACGTGCCTGTCGTAGTGTCGCATTCGCGTTCACCGATTATGCAATTGAGCTGTAATATTTTGCGACTTCGGCGAACGAGGAGAGTTAAGGCATTATCGATTATGATCGCGAATGTATGTATGTTTCTTGCGCGACGGTGAACGCGCGTCGAGGACCGAAGGCGCATGAATTCGTCGATGCACGCGAAACGACACATGCGCGTGTGTATACATGCGTGTTTGATTACCTTTTTTGCAACGTTTCGAAAGTCACTTATTAGTCGTCACGGAGATAATGATTTTATTTCTTTCTTTACGAGAACGTTCTGAAAGAGAGAGGATGTAGAAAAAGTGACGTTATCTCATGACAAAATGATTTTACATTCTTATCTAATCATGTTTACGTAATTAATCTTCCCTTTTTACAGTTTTTACTGTTTATTTATATTCTTATCTCAGTTTGATATTACTCTCAGTTATTTAGTACTGAATGTTAATGCTCAGGAGATAATTGCTGTATGACAGACCGGATGTTAGTGAAATCTCTTTTAAAGAAGCAGATCAAGATGAGTGTATTAATTAATATATTTTTTATTTGTTTTTAGAGAATGGCAGGTGTTGTATATGTGATGGGACTGCTGTTGTTAGGAGGAGCATCAGCATGGACCGTTGATATTGCAGATAACATAACTGTACATATGAATCAAGTAATATCAGTCCCATTCAGTGTACATGTTGGTGATACGTCCAGACCAAGTATGTGGTATTTTAATACCGACCAACATATTGCAAAACTAAGTTCTGAATTTACAAAGTCAAACGGAACTTTATTCAGTGGTATCTTTAATATCACTGGCGTATTCCTTGGTAGGACGACATTAACGTTTACTGTGACAGAAATGACGGTAAGTGTTAAATAAACATTTTATTTGATTGCTTTATTTCTTTAGAATAATCAAAATTTCTTTTCTTTTAGATTAAAGAGGATCGAGAAGTAGCTGTTATTACCGTAATACGAGAGGAACGTATAATAGACACTGTATTTACTGCCAGTGTAGCAATACTTGTATCCATTTTGTATATTAATTTTGGTTGTGCTATAGATTGGAACGTATGTCGCAATACATTAAGAAGGCCAATAGGTCCAGCCATAGGTTTCTTCTGCCAGTTCCTGATCATGCCATTGGTAAATCATAAACATACAAGATGTTTCAGTTAATGTATACAAGTATTATAGGTCTGTTTTTTATTCTTGCACTAAACTTCACTAAAATTGTCTTTCTTGCTTTCGTCAAATTTAAACATCTACCTATCTCACTTTAAGTTCCAAAAGTGTACACTGATTCAGCCACAAAAAACAGATCTGTGCTTACAATGTACTTTGCAATGTACTTTGCTTGCTCTTTTGTCAGATTTTCCATGATCTTGATTTTACATTATTTCCAGTTAAGTTTTCTCATTGGATATCTTTTATTTCCTGATCGTCCTGAACTGCAAATAGGCATGTTCTTCACAGGGATAAGTCCAAGTGGTGGCGCTTCTAATATGTGGACACTGTTACTTGATGGCAATCTGAATCTTTCAATCACAATGACTACTATATGTACCATTGCTGCATTTGGTAAGTAATATGTAACATAAAAGTAATTCTTGTATATAAAATTTGACTTTATTCTTCAAAGGAATGATGCCATTTTGGGTCTTCACATTGGGTAGATATATTTTCGCACAGGGAAAAATTGCAGTTCCCTATGAGCATATCGCAACTTTCGTAATTGGTCTTGTAATTCCACTGGCCATAGGATTTATCATTCAAAAAAAGTTTCCAAGAGTATCGAAGATATTGGTCCGAGTAATGAAACCTTGCTCTGTGATTTTAATTATATTCATTATTATATTTGCCATCATGACTAATCTATATATATTTCAACTGTTTACATGGAAGGTAAGTATATATTTTTTTTTACAAATTCATTTAAAAAATTACAAATTTTTTTAATTTGATTTTTTTATCTCAGATCATAATCGCAGGAATGGGTTTACCCTGGTTAGGTTTTACATTTGGTTTTATAATAGCGTATATTTGCAAGCAACCTCAAGCTGATATACGGGCGATTGCCATTGAAACTGGTATTCAGAATACAGGCGTGGCGATCTTTTTGTTACGATTTACATTGAAGGCACCCGCTGACGACCTAACTACTGGTAAATATGTATATGAATATAAGCACATGAGTTACCTTAATCTAACAAAATATTTTCTGTTTAGTGGTTCCTGTATCTGCCGCAATGATGACACCGGTTCCATTAACAATTTTATTTATAATAAAATTGATTTATAAATACAAGCAAAAAAAAACGGCAAAAGGGACACTACAGTCTGCTCCATCGTTAGAAAAACTCCAACAAACTACAAACGTTTCTACGCAATGAAATGAATCTAAATCATTTGATCGTGCAGAATAATAAATTCCTCGTTTATGCATTAATAATATATAAGAAAGAACTATATTTTTTATATATTTTATATATTAATGTTGGAAAGCTTTAAGTTTTGATAAGAGTAGGTTGGTTGTGGATATATTATATTATGTATAATTTCTATATCTATTGTTACCTATCAAGTAGTAATTTAAAATTTGTGTTTTTTTTATGTCGATGATACTTATAACATTAGTTTACAGCAAAAAAAATTAGTTTAAACTGGATAGACATATAAGATTTTTGAATGCGAGCCTTGTATTTGAGAAATATCGCCTACGAAAACATTAGGGAAATCTATGATGTATTTCATTATATTTTTATTTTTTTTTATTTTTGATATATTTTTTTTTATTTACGTAATGCATACGTAGTATTTTTTTTTTATTTTTGTTGCGATATTTTTTAAGAATACAGCTAAAAACGATGTCACAAGCCAGAAGATTCCAGAATCGAAGTAATTAAAAAAGAAATTTTTTTTTAACTAATGTACTTGTAACAATAATTTGATTTATTCATCTATAAAAGTATAGCGAAAAACAATTCTTACTTGGTGAACAAAGATTTATTAAATATTTTCTAAGTGTTGTGAAAATCTCATTTGCGTTTATATATTTTATTTTTGAATTCGAAAAGAAATTAAAGAATTGTACTTTTCTAAGCTTGTTTTTTATTATGGAGTGTCTAGAAAACTGTTTTTAAACATAGAATTTGTATCGGTCCAACAAATAAACGCAACATTAAAATAAATTTAACGCAATATCAAAAATATTAATTCAAGCGCATCGTTAAATTTTTAAATTTCGACGAGAACAAATTTAGAAAATGATTCTGATTCTGTGAGTGAAATTGATTTCAAAAATTCGCGCCCGTCGCCACCAGCGCCATCATCTAACAAATTGAATACAGCAACATTTGCACGGCAGCGTGCACGACAAGTTTGAAAATCCCTCGCGCTAATGTAACTAAATCAATTCGATACATTTTGTATAACTTCATTATACTAACTACACTACCTCTTTCGCGAGAAATCTCGCCGTGTAACGAATATTAATCGTCATACGTTTCGTTCAATAACTTTGCGAAGCAAAAATAACGCTGTTATCACCACCGCAGTTATACCAATGCATTGATTATTACTTCCTAAAATCTTGAGCCTGCAACAACAATAATATCAATTCAACCCATTTTTCTCACCTCTCTACGCAAATAAAAAAAATATCTTGATCTCATTTAGAATCACGAGGAAATTTACTTTTGTCGAGCAACTCGTTATCTCCCAAGTCAATGGCAATCGTGACATTAATGAGCGAACACGCTGAAGTTGGCTATCCTGCACCATCTTGTACTCGCGTGCCCACTGTCTGTCGCCGCCCGTTCTTGCTGCTAACTTCAGCGCGCATGATTTCAGTTTACAGTGCCGAGACTGCCGAGGCTGATCGAGGCTCGAGAAGGCTTGGAAGTGTGAAACGAGCGGGCGAGCGATTTGGATTTCTGTGATCTCGCTTTGATCGAGGATGCAATCTGATCACGTCGGCCGACGACACGCAGATTGGTAATCGCGATCTAGTGTTCTTGGCCTAGGTGTACAACTGTGACGCGCGCATTCTAGCAAACAAGAACGGGAGAGAGAGAGAGAGAGAAAGAGAAAAGGTGGGAGGGAGAGAGTGAGAGATATATAGACGAGCGAGGACGGAGCATGCGACCGCGCCTCTGCGACGTTACTCGGCGTGTCGATGAGGATGGGAAGTGCGCCGACGACGACGAGGACGAGGGACGTAAGTGAGTCAGGGATAACGTCGTTGCAGTACGTCGTGCGGTGCTGCATCATCATCGCTTAGGAATGGTATCGCCGTCCAAGCACCAATATCAGCAGCAGCAGCAGCAGCAACAACAGCAACTCAGACAACCGTCGAGAGAAAACAAGTTTGATCCGCGACGAAAGCCAGGTAAGTCCTGAAACGGGTAATTCCGTATTGCATAATGACCGCCGCGCCGGCAGTTTAGCCGTTAATGGACATTGCGTAGAGACGTTTGCACGACTGTGTTTGACACACGTTACGTGCCTGTCTCTCTACCCAGGCACACATGTACACGTACGCACACACAAATACACGCCGAGGGATCACTGAGAGTACTTGGAATATCTTTATCGGCGAAGAGATTGAAGAGACGGGTTGTTACGTACATATTGTTACGTGTTGTCATTGAGGAATTCGAGTTGTTTTACAGAAGACCGAAGGCGCCTTCCAAATTTGTCTTAGCTTGGACGCTACGTGTAAATTAATGGAACCTTTGCCGATGCTGAAACGAGTACTCTGAGCGATCACCAGCGTTTCCTTTGCCGTACGGTGCAAATAGTAATGATGATTCATTTTATATATCCCGTCTTATAGTACGTTCTCTGGATGTGAGTAACAAGACTGTTATTATCGCTTGATTAGAGGCTGCACCAATTCGTCTGTATCATGTGATTTGTACAGCGGTTGGTACGAATGTAAGACAGCAACTAAAATACGATAAGTGAACGCTTCTTATAACGCATTTCTCGGGGGGAAAAAAAAAAGTCCGTGGAAAATATTTCCGATGCTCTACACGCTTAGTCGATTCATTTGGGATCGACAGTTAATCGAGAAAAGAAAGAGAAAAAACTTTGTCACGCCTCAACGCGTCTGCAGGTGTGACAAAAACAATCGTTGGCATTGATCGCAATGGGAAAATTAGTAAGATTTTTAAAACTTTTTTTTGTAGATATTCGTATACGAAGGGGCCTGCAACCTTTGGAGCAGAAGTCGTTCTATTTGGACATAAAGAACCATGCCATTGCGGCCAAGCTAGAGGCACAGATCAGGGAGTTGGGTGGTGTGAGTTTACATTTTCATCTCCCGCTTGTGCGATGCTGCGTTAGAGTATCCCTGGTAGCCCGTAACCCACGTTTCCCGCTTCGTTTCTAGCCGCTTATCGATTTGTCGGAGCGTTTTGGTGTATTTCGGGCGAGTGTGCGAGCCCCTCTCTCACTTTCTCCACCTGCCTCTCTTTCTCTCTTCTCCCCTCTTTCGCTCGTTCCCCCTCCCCCTCCCCCCCTCTCCCGCCCGTTCTTCTCTTCCCGCCATTTTCGATCACTATGCCTACGGCCGCTTCGACGTAACGCCCGCTCGAATCGGCGCTCGCTCCCCTACAGAGAGCGCGCGCACACATATACATATACACGTGCACGTGCACGCGCGCGCGCGCGAAACGAGAAAAAATTCGAATATCCGTCTCTTCGCGACCGATGCGCTCTCCGGCCATTCAATTCAAACCAACCTCGTTGCCACGCGATATTACGGAGTACGCGCGCGATTATCGAACTGCCGGAACAACTCGGAACGGTAAACTCGATCCCGAAAACTTCCGCGCACGGACCTTACCGAGTCACTCGCTAATCACTCGCGAATCTTGCGTGATTTTCCCGAGTTAACTTTCTGACAATTTGTATTTATCTTTTGCCCTATCTATGACAGAAAATTGTTGATATGATGCATTCATGAGACAATGTGATGTATTTTTGACAAAAAGGAAGTCGTTTTGTTCTTCTGTTATATATATATAGTATGTATATTCTATTATATATATAGTATGGAATTGTTAACAGTACTTTATATATACATATCTCACTACAGAAGAATATTTTATTTTCGGTTTGACAGCTAATTGCGTTTATTTTTACTTCTATTTTGTAACTAGGTCATGACGATACGTAACAAGTAACCTCCGATAGAAAAAAAATATGTTCGTTGTGCTATAACTTATCCTCGGTTTGCTAATGTTCGATTGATTCCTCGCAATCTTAACTATGCTCCAGTTCATATATTTTTAACGTACTACAGGCTGCATTTAGCAGAAAAAAAAACAGCTTTGCAACCGTTGTAAAATTCTTTAAATATGATTGGTTTACACATTTAAATCCAATAAGGAATTAAGGGCAAGACTAATCGTGTTAAAGAATTTTACGACAGTAGCAAAGCTGCTTTTTTCAGCTGAACGCAGCCATTTACCAACACGATCACATTCATATGAATTTTCTAATTTCACACAGACTGTACCGGAATCGTTTTCCATAAACGTTGGCCTACTCGCGCTCATGTGATCCGCACGAGCCGCGCAAACCAGTGCCGTGAAGTTGTCTCCTCCAACCGCGTTTACCGCACCTTCCTTCGCGTGATTCTCGCTCTTCCTCCTTTTTTTTTTCTTATTCTCCGAAGGTGATGCCTCGTCTTACTCGAAGCGCGCGTTTCCGGAGGAAAAGAGACGGATGAGCCAGGCTCGCTTGGCGCGGGGTTGACCCTCGCGGACGTGACCGAGCATTGCGCGCGAGGAAGCGGGTTTCCGTGCGTCCGCGCCGGCTGTGTCTTTTCACGCGAAGCGAAAACACACATCGTTGCCGCGCTGCGTCGTGCGCGCGGGGGCTACGCCCTAAATTCAAGCCGCTCTCGGCAACGTTTGCGCCGCTTTAGCGACGACGCGACGTAGGTCGCATTTGTACGTCTATTACCTCGACGGACGCGGTTCCCGACCGAACGATTTTTCTGTTGACAAACAATTCCCGCGGCGAACTTCGCCGTCCCGCGCCATCTTCAGAGCGATACGCGAAGCTCACGACTTCAAAAAGAAGAAGGGGGGAGACGAAGTAGGAAGAAAAAAAAGAGACGGCGAATGCGAGAGGTAAAAAATTCGCACATCGTATCGGACGTTTGCACGCGTATGAAGAGTAGATAATATGTTTCTCCATACGGGCTGGTGATTTTGTAACGTAATATCTGCAGAGTCGAGAATTTTCCTTACAGCTTTTTATCTAGAAAACGTGAAGAGTGAAAATATTTATGTGTGTATACGTAAGGATGCATGTTTTTTATTTCTGTTTTAGAATTTTCTTTCTCGCTTTTATCAAACATCAAATGTATACCTATCTTATTTCAGCCTGGTTTTTTATTATCTAGTTAATTTGTGGTTTAGACTTGTGATATTCACTTGGTGATGATATAAAAATTATGATTTTCTAGCTATGATTAATCACTAAATTAATAGTTTTGTAGTCCCGCAATTTTAAAAATTATTCAAAATCATCAGTTTAGTGATTAATCATAGCTAGAAAATCATAATTTTTATATCATCATCAAGTTAAGTAAATATAGTTTAAACCCACAAGTTAATTAGATAAGTTAATTAGATAGGTATATATTTGATATTTGATAAAGTCAAGTTAATTAGATAAGTATATATTTGATATTTGATAAAAGCGAGAAAGAAAATTCTGATGCAGAAATAAAAAACATGCATCCTTATGTATACACACAATATATAAATAAAAAAAACATTAATAGATAGAAAAATACAATTTTTACATTATCATCAGGTTAAGTCTAGCCACGAATTAAATAACAAATGAAAAACCTTTAAATTTCAAGTGTATACTTAATCTACTTCAGCCACAAAAAAAAAACAGACATATATTCACACATAAAAATGTTCACTTTTCACGTTTCCCCTCTAGAGAAAAAGTTGCATAATTACTCCGAGAGATTAGAAAAAAGAATTTGAAATTGAAGTTAATTATTATTAAAGAAAAATGACATAGCATACTCTAGAGATGTAAATAAATTTCGTGTGTAACACCGCAACATTTTGTAATACATCTCGCTTGATACATCTATCGAAAATCTGCAAATAATAAAATTTTGTAAGTTCGATCTAGACCGTTTTTACTGCCTTAACTTCCAACGGTTTAACAGGACGAACGAGCCAATTCCTCGCGACGTGGAGCAGAAGGGCACAAGTGCAAAGTCGCCTCGCAACGGCCTATTAATAGAACAGCTGTCAAACCGTGTGATCGACGTTACGAATCGTCGTAGAGATTCATTGTTGCTCATTGTCGTTGTCTGTTGACAAACAAATCGCGGAGAAACCGGCGCGCCTCGCGCCATCTGAAGAACCGCGCGGGGAATCGTTTTCTGCGTTATCCACCATATGCGCGCGCGTGTGCGTGCGCGAAATTTCGAAAAGTCAAGTCAAGTGAGGGCGAGGGGAGGGGTGGGGTGGGGATGGGATCGGAGGACACGATACACGAATTACACGATAGGCGAATTGAGGCGAGTGACGAGGGGAGGATGGCGGCGTCGCGCCCGACGAGCGACGAGCGACGGAGCTGGACGGAGCGACGACGCGAACGGACGGGAGTCGCGCGCGCGTGTCCTCGCCGTCGACGTCGGGCGCGAGAGGAGTGGACTCGCGCGCCGTCTCCAGGCCCCCATGCCAAGCTGCTAACGGCGAATAGCCATTTTGTGCGTGACAGTTGTCCGCCACGAGCCAACAAGCATCGGTCGAAGCAGCGAGTGAAAAGTGGCGTCGCGTCTCGTAGTCGTTTCCATCCGGCCGCCCTCCCGTCCGTCCGTCCGTTTTGTCGGAGTATCCCTTTGTCGCGCGTCGCCAACACGACGTGTCCCAGTACACCCAATGCTCCCAATGTGCTTGGCATAGATCGCGCGTCCTCGGCCGTCGAGTCGCCGTCGAATCGAAGCGGAGCGTAGCGTAGCGGTTGGTCGCGCGTCGCTGGCGTTTGACAGGCGGCGAGCGCTCGTGACTTTCGAGGACGCGAACGCGTCCTCGCTCGAGTCCGCCGCGTCGAATGCGCCGTCGCCGCCGTTGGGAACGTCGCCACTCACGCCGGGGACCGCTCCACGTGTCTCCTCGCATCTCCCTCCCGGTGCCTTGGACGAGGGACAGCTGCTGGCGGCGGCGGCCGACGCGCCGCGTCATATTATTAGAACAACGCTATGCGACCGGCAGCGAGCGGCGAGTGGCGGTATCAGCTACATGAAGACCAGTCGTGGCGGCACGCGCCGCGCGCCTTCCCAGCCGAATCGCGTTCCTCTCTGTATTCTCTGTAACGATCGGCCCCCGTCGTCGCCGCCACTGCCATCGTCACCGTCACCGTCACTGCCGCCGTGCTGCTCGCCCGAGGAAAGCCGCGAAATCACTTGACGTCAGCGTAACACGATGTGACCGTGTGTCCCCCAGGCATCGCGCATCACGCTTGTACACGTATGTATGTGTGCATTGTGCTCGCGCAACGACATTTTACTCGTTGCGCAAACGATAAACTTCCTCGAAAGTCGTCAGACTGTCTCTGTTTCTGTCACTGTCACTCACACGCACGCACGCTCGCTCGCGAGACGCCTGGAGCAACAGCTTGATCGCGCGGACTCGCGCTCGATCCGACAGATCGCCAAGGTCTCCTTTGTCTGTATTGGAGAAGCTCGAGAAGCATAGGTAGAAGTCCCCTCCTCCCTCCTCCTCCCCGAGTTTTGCTTGGAAACAATGTGATCTGTTGTGTGTGTTAGTTAATCATTTGAATCTGTATCTTACGCTCGTACGTGCTTACCTGTCCGCTTCTGCTATAGCTCTACATTTCTTTCTCATATCTTGCCTGATTTCTTCTTTCAACTTGACGTCGTTTATTTTTAGGCGGTCGAATTGTTTCTAGTACGCGGTGTGAATCTTGTAGCCAGCGATAGAATAGACAAGGCAGGTCATACAAACTTTGAGAGACCTAGATGGGCTTGCATCAGTGGTGGCAGCGGAGGACTCCGCTCACTGAGAAGCATCGAAATCCCAACTCCCACACCCCCAACACCGTTACTAAGTTCTGAATGCCCCTCGTCCAACTCTACTCTGCGGGGTCAAACTACCCAAAGATCTGTAAGTATCAAATATTATAAGGAGATAAATTATATCAAATATTAAATCGTATCGTATAAAAACTGCTGTTAATATTGTAATAAAAAATAAATCGATATTATCTGTCACTTTATTACTGTACATTTTCTTCATCAACATATTAGTACTGGATGAAGCATATGGCGAAATCTCTTTGATCTTTCATTTTGATGGAAGTAGATAAAGAAAGGTAGATATATGGACACAGAACTCTCTTTCTAATATTGTCCTATTGGTCGAATTTTGAGAGAGAAAGGGAGAATGATAGTGCATTCTTTTCCCATCTCTTTCTAGGTCTGTCAAGATGGTTTCGATGCTATGTTGCATCCCAGTACTATATGTTAATGATTTTCTTGATATTGCTTTATTTTTTATAAATGTCACATAGCGTTTTTCGTTGTATAGAAATAAATTTTCAAATTAGTACTCCAATGGCACAATAATTTTATAATTGTTTTACATTTCTAATTTGATAGAAATCGCGGGTGGATGCAATGTTGGAACGTGCTCTGACGCAGCCACAACAGTGTTCCGTGGATCCACTAAACAACGCCCACAGTTGGGGAATTCCTATTTGGACAACGGATAAGCTTCAGGCTTGGCTTGACAGGATCTATGAATCTATCAAGAATACTTCTTACGTGAAGCAAATTAATCAGCATAACTCGACGAGAGTCAAACATTTGAAAAGACCATACGTCAAATTCGACTCTGTTTACAAGTAATTATCATTACCATACGGCATTTTAATTCTACGTGTATCTGTCTTTGCATTTATAAAATTCACATATTACATTTCTATTTATAGAGCTACCAGGCCTGTGTTCCTGGAATTATCGTCGTGGCCCACATTAAACTTCGACGGTGATCCTGGTTCGTGTCCTTTCGACACAAAAAAGCAGGAAAAACGAGAAAGCAAATTGATAAACAAAGAGGTCAAGGAGAATAAGAGGGATACTGAATCTATAAATAAGGCAGAGGTACATTATCCGTTACTATATGAAATATTGCATGTTGATAAACAATAAAGTTATTTAATCAAATTTCTATATTAAGAAAATAATGATTAAATTTTTTTCACATGGACAGGGTAAAGAAATGACTCGGAGACCTCGTGCCACCGCTGCACGTGCCCGCAGAACGGAACAGCTGGTAGCTGGTTATTGCGAACTTTGTCGTATTCATTATGAGGATTTGTCGAAGCATGTGCAAAGCGAGCAGCATTTGAACTTTGTGGGAAACGATGACAATTTTTTATCGTTGGATACATTAATCAACGCGGGCGCCAATGTGGAAGCGTTCTTAAAATTAAACAGAACAAAAGATATCGAGTAAGTATTCGGAAATAAAATCTTACATAGTTCACTTCTTTAATTTAATTTTATCAGTTTAATATTTGTTGAATATAGAAATCATTCATGTTTGCGATATAATATGTATCATGTATAAACAGTTACTGTTTGTATTTTGGATAACAATTTATTTCTGTTACTTTATAGGAAAGACTGTGACTTATTTCCCAATGGAAATGGTAATCTACATAATGTGTTGCCCGAGGAGAAAGTTAACAAAAACACCAAGACTTTAAATAACTTTACCGTCGACGACATAAAAATGGTGAATGGTGCGCGTAGAAATCTTAATTTAAAATTAAGCTCACCGCATAATCTGCGTGCTCGTATCTCGAAACACGAGAGCGGGCATCTTCTCAGATCTAAGGGCAGTCCATGGCACGAGGTCGACAAGAGCGAAAAATTGTATGACAAATTGGAAGGTTTTACCATCAAAAAGCGCTCAAAAGGCACTATCTGGATCGAGGAAGATGACCCGGACGAAAAGTACACGGAGAATATTCTTAAGGAACCCAAGCGGGAAGACTATAAAATCAGACCGTTCTCGAACAATACAGAGTTTTATAACAGTAAGGAAGATAATATCAATAATAAACATAGTAATCTGGATCCACCAAAATTACAATCGGTCGTACATAGAAATGCGCAAAATGGCATTGTAAATTCGCGTCACATATCGGAGGATCCAGATTATCTTAATAATAAAAACGAATATAATGGTGATGAAAACGTAAGTGTTGTGGAGTGTACGATAAAAGAGGTCGATGTAGTTGATAATAATTACATTGTTGGAAGCAAAGACGATCCGTTTCAGAGAGACAATTGTGCGTTGCAAGCGGAAAAGATGACAACTGATGCGAGAAAGTTTTCGTTGAATGATGCAAATGAGATTGTTTGCAATGGGCATAACGATAAGAGCGAACAGAGGGACCTGAAAACGTTGCAAGAAGAGAATACTCGTCACATAAAGTCCAAGCATCCGCGCGTGAATCGGAGGGGTGGCAGAAATATCAGAGGTCGATGTCGAGCTCGACTATCGGTGGAAGAACGTTTGATAGAGGATAATCGTGCCTACTATAAGGTGGAAGTGTTGGGTAACAAGCTGCGATCGAGCGCGATACCAGGCGGTAATTCGCAACATGCGACATTGAAAGATGGGGAGAGCGAAGAGAAGAAGGAGGCGCCGTCCAATGAAAAGCCGGTGGTAGTGCGATTTAAGCGTGTGAGAAAGTCGGAATTATCTTTGTTGAGTGATGAGGCGGAATCCTTCATGTTCGGCGAGCCAAAGCGAGACGATTCCAGCGAGCGAACTAGTGATAGCGAGCAGAGTAGCGTACTGCCAAGAGATACGGAAAGCGAGCCTAACGACACCATCAATTCATCTATATCGCTGAATTCATCGTTAAATTCCAGTTCCATTAAGCAGGAGATTATCGAAGAAGACTCGCAGGATTCTGTGCACCTAGGCAGAGCAAGGAAAAGAAGACGCACACAGGCCGAAGCGTTCATCAAGGACAATACCGACTACTACAAATTCGAGACGCCTGGCAGCAGATTAAGGTATCAGGCTCCATTGACTGGCGTTAAAGACACTGCCGTGGATGGTGGTAGGGAACACGGGACGGCGAAGAGATCGACGCATGAACCGGAAGATTGCAAGCTGCAGGCCGACGGCGTTGTCCAGAAAATTTATCCGTCCAAGCCATCGGCAGAAATCGAGAAGATGCAGTTCTCTTTTGAGTCGATACCTATGTCTGAGCCGTGGTATCAAACGTATCAGCGTCAGGACACGGGCGCCGAATTTTGGCATTGCTTCAGCGAATGCGAGGAGATGAAGCCATTTCTTCTGCCGTACGAGATTGAAAACTTTCACGAAACGTTAGCGAAAGCACAGAGCAGAATCGAGAGCGGTAGAAGGAGAGGTCGTGGTCGCGGTATAGGATGTGTAGGACGCTCGCCAAGAAAGAGTCCGCGTTGTCATGCATCCACGTTAGCAATTATGTCTACCATAATCCGTAAAAAGGAACAACAATCGACTCTGCCTACGATAGAAGAATCGACGCCCGTCAGATCGCGCATAAACACACCCAAGCTCGAACAAAAACCAAATTTCAAATTAGACGTGGACGAGGAGATAAAAGAGATAGCGAAGACGATCGACGAGATGTTGTGCACGAAAGGTATGACCGAGTTGGACGACTCGTTTGAGCCCGATGTCGACTTGGCGCAAGCCGATGGTTTTTGTGAAACGAACTTACCAAAGGGTGCACCGCCGAATCTACTGGAATTGCTCGACAACTGTCAAGATATTACCAACTGTCTGGAAAATAATTCATCGTGTGCTAGTTCAGAATGTGGTGAGGTAAACGCGGCGGACATTCCGTTGAAACGACGGAAACGAAGAAAAAATCGGACCGGTTGGCCGGTCGGTAACAAGATGAAAAAGAAAATACAACCAAACAGCAAAATATTGATAGATTGTGACCAGGAATCATTGGCGGAGAAGAAGTTCTATCCTGACGGCGATTTTTCTAGACGTCACATGTTGAACACAGAGAGGATAGATTCTCACGCGGTAACAGCGTCGACGAACAACGCATTACCGATGGTTGCAGAACGATTAGGTGTCAGTCAGAAAAACAATGACAACGCTTCGCTGGAAACCTGCACTACGTCTAAAAAATTGTATCACGAGACGCTCGCGAAAAAGGACAAAAACATAGAGGCTGTCAGCAATGACAACACGGGCCTATCAGCGAGTACGGACAACTATAAGGAGTCCGTCTCGGAAAACGCGTGTGACGATGGGACGAATAAGACTCATATGTCGAACAAAGATTATCCATGTAGAAAAGATTTGTCGGAAATTAAGGAGGTCTTGGAGAACGATTCAGGCAACGATGAGAATCACGAGAACCAGAAGAATTTGTTAAGCAGAAAGGATGTCAATACGATCGCCGAGAACTTGGTCGCGAAATCGTCGCCTATTAAAAAGCAACGACAGCGCGAGCATGTCACCGTTACTAGTGCCGATAGCTGCGAATTACGGGACACGGAGATCGAGAATCAGGACAATCTGCAGTTACAGTGTAGAAAAGAGGAGACCGGTATAGTTCCTAAGAAACACCACAATTCTAATTCCGAGTTATCGCCGAAGCGGCAACTGCGCGGCGGCAACTGTGAGGAGAACTCGTCCGACACGGGGGAATTGTTAAAACGTCGTCACGGTATCGTATTCGCCACGACGAGACGCGGTCGGATAGGCTCGCGGAAGCGGATTTACCCCAAAAAACGTCAATCGAGAACGACCGTCACCCGCAACAATGCCAATTTGTCATCTGATCGCGTCGGGATGATGTACGAGGACGAGAATTGTAAAAAGGATGCCTACTTGAGTATTACGTCGTGTAACAAGAAACAGCCACCAAGCTCCGGGGTGCGCGGCAGCGTAAAGCGTAAAAGTGAAGCCATTTCATCGTCAGATAACATCCAGGAATCGTCCAATCTGTCGATAGATCAATGCGCCTTGTCGGAGCGCATCAGTCCATCGATAATATCGTCCAACGAGCTTGAGCAGCGTCGTTCTAGCATCGAGTTTCAACCAGTCGTACGAATGATGAAAATCGACGATCAAATAGACATAGATCACGGTATACTGTCGACGGTGACGGTGGCGAGTAATAGACGGTTGAGAAGTTCTGTCGGCTCGCGATCAAATCCCAAGCCACCGAAGAAGCGTGTCAAGTCTGGCCGTGGGCACTTTGGGAGGTGGTTGAAGAACAGCTGAAGACCTGGAGAATGAAGGCGAAGAAGAAAGAGGCTGTACTTCGGCTTAGATTTCAACGGTGGTCATTTATCGATCTTACGATCCGATATCTCGTTCTACCGATGTGTACATTGTGTATAAAAATATTATTTGTGTACGTAGAATAGTATTTAACATGCATCATAGTATTATATATATATATGTATACATACACATATATATATATATATTCTCTCTCTTTAGTGATACCATTCTACTTAGTGACGTTCTTTCAGGTGGTTAGTTTTAACACTCCCCACCCGCGGTATATCCTACTGTGTATATATTTTAGATGCGGTCATTGTGTTTTCAGAGACAGAACAGTTACATCTTTTTTACTAGTACCATGTCGTTCCTTATTTTCTATTTCTTTTTTCTTTCTTATCATTTCATACAAACGAAAATTGTGAACCACTTTGATGACAGTCGTTTCATTCAGATCATGATTAAGAATTATTTTTATTTAGAGTATATTATATTTTAGAGTGCGCAAGACTGCATACGGCTTTATAACATTGTAATCACAGATGTACACACACACACACACACATCCACACGTACACATACACATAGACACGCACACATATATTCCGTTATATTGTGTATATTATTAAAGATAATATTCTATATTTTCAATTCTCCAGTATATCCAAATACATTATTTCAAGCAGAATTGCTGTAAGCCGCTCATGAGTTCAGAAAGAGAAATTATTATTAAAGATATACAAATTTTCCATTAAAAATCATTTCATTGCACCTTTTTTGATTCCATATCTCCTTGTGAGAGAGAGAGAGAGGGGGGGGGGGGGGGGGAAAAAAAAAGTTAAATTGTACAAGTCTATAACTGATTGACCAACAAGTTCAATAGACTGATTTAATTTCAAGTTTAGTGTTCTTTATCTTAATTATAGTTTAGACGAATAATCTAATTAGTTAATAATAAAGATTATAGCACAATTAACTACTTAAAGTTTAAAAATAAAACGGAGCTTTTGTATTTCTGAAAACAAAGTTTAGATAATTCTCATAAATTTATTTACCTGATAGATTCAATTAATTACAGTTAACATTTATAAGTTGGCTCTCTTAGTGTTTTGGAAGTTACCTCTTCATATAATTTTATTTATCTCTAAATCAATTTACATTCTAGAAGAAATGTACATAAAACAATCTCGTGTCATGTTAAGCCTTCACGTTCGTGAAACGCTTTCTTCATTTCGTTTAGCTTCTTTCTCTTATATTCTTTTTGTGCCTGCTGTTTTTTCTGAAGAGCATGTATCTGGGCTTCGATAGAGCGTTCCTTGTTCAGCAAGTTGTCAAGCTTTGTCACCAAGATTTCACGCGCGCGTTTCTTGTTGCTCCACTGGCTCCTTGTCTCGTGGCACTTGACGACGAGCCCTGTAGGCTTGTGCTTCAACAGGACCGCATTGTTCGTCTTATTCGTCGCTTGGCCACCTGGACCACTACCTCGGATGAATTGCTCCTCTAGATCGACCTCATCCAGCTTGGGAACATTTGAGTAATCAAGATACCGTTTGTACGACTTGTTGCGAACTTGTATGCTTTCGGAATTAAACACGATGCCTAACAAGAGAAATTTGTTGTGGCTGATCAGGGAAGAAATGCTATTGGGAACTTTTAGACAAGTCAATACAGACTTGATCAACATTTTCTGTTGTTTTCATAAAATGTCTCTCGTTGTAATGAATCCAATGATAATTTAAACCACTTTCTTAGCTTCCAAGAATTTCATACCTTTCTGTGAAAGGAGAAATGAAGAAATAAATTAATTCTGAATCAACAGAAAGGTTTTACTACATTACATCGCAAAAATTTAAACTTTAAATTGGAAAAAATTAGACATTTTATATGTATTTAAAAAATTATATATATATATTGTGTAAAAATATATCTTTAATATATAAATAAAAACAAGGCAAACATTTATTTTAAAAGCGAGGATTATATATATACATGAACATAACAAATCGATCTTATTCTTATACGTTGAATACAATTCCGTACATGTTGAAACTTTTTCTCTAGATTAAAATATATTGCTTTCAACTTCAGGATTATTCAATGTAATACACTTAAAAGAAATATTGTAACAGTGATTTATAGGTTAGAAACATTAAGGTTATAAAAGGTATTCGCACAACAGCGTGATTACCTGCAATTGGAAGTTTATCGCCGTTTCGTCAGACAGATCTTTATTAGTTTTGAAAGCAGTCTGGATTCTGTATCGAAAGTACTTCTTGTTCGTAAACCTTAAAGTTTGGCCATACCTCAGAATGTCCTTGTATAGTTTCAAAACTTGTCGGCTCATTGTAATTTACCAGAATTAATTGAACGTATGTACGATGTATACAAAATGTTTAACTGTATTTTGATATAGCATGACACTAAAAATTATGTATACCGTTCTTCAGAAATTCGCAAAAATTGTACGTATATATACATATTAAAGAGGATTCTCTCCTCTTTGGTACGTTCTATACATGCAAAGACATAGATAGAGAATGGACTGCGCGATCTGTGTGTCAAAATGGTCTATAGGGACGAAAGAAAAGGACCGTGGCACGGTGGCAGACGGCCATTTCTATCTCTTTCCATTCAATGGTGTAATGGGAGAGAGAATGAGAGGGGGATTGGCCGTCTCCCACGGATCTCTCTGTCATTATTGTCCACATTTGATACACTACTTAGATACGAATCGCGCAGTCCATTCTCTATGCTTTGTATATATGCGAGACATGCGCAATGATGGCCGGCGTTTCTTTTTGTAGTGGATCAGCTGACGGAAACATTACGCACTTGTTACGTATGTATACAAGACGTACAAGCTCAATTAGCTTTACTTTATCAACAGATTGTTTAATAACATTAAGATTGCTTCTTTTCATAGAAAAACTTAAGAAGGATCATTGTTTCGTATAATTATTTTGCAATTCAATTTATTATATAATCATGGATTAAATTTAAAAAATAATCTTATATAAAAACTGAATCTGTTAAAAACAGATTTTGCGAGTGTAACTACAAATATTGTCAGCAAAATGACAGTAGGATATATTCCATTCTCAAATATGAAATAACAGATTTTATCTGATTTGTTAGCTTCTACTGTCAATCTTCTGTCAGATTATGTTGATAAGTTCTACTGGTAAAATATGTTTAATGCAGACACAATTGATGTCTACCACAAATATTCTACTAATTTGCTGATGGCAAATCGAACAGATATATTTTTTGTATTAGTATAGGTATTTATTCATATTTAAATGCATCTCAAAAATATATCTGCTCCTATCATTCAGTGAAAAAAACGGGATAATTTAAAAAAATTATAATATTATATTTTTCCAAAATTAGCAATTTATAGTATAAAATCTCTCAAATTTAAAGTAAATTTTCTTATATGATTTCTTTTTATGCGTTTCTCCGATTTGACAGAGAAGTAACGTCAATAACGTTAGAATTCTTGGAATTCTAACTCGAAAAGCTTCTGTATAACGTCATCTATTTGTAGCTCCTTTGCTATTTCTATTATCAATTCATCTACGAGCTTATCAGATATCCTGCAATATCATTCGTTGTAAACACATTTAGAGAATAAAGTTTTCAAAGTAGCAGTGTTATATTTACCAAGCGACAATGTCCCATGGTTTATTTTGTGTATTGCTAGAGTACATTGGAATCGATTCCATCAATCGCTGATATTCGCATCTATATTTCAAAAAATTCATCTCAGTTTCCTCGGAAACAGCAAGCTCGATATTATTCAGTGAATCTATCATAAATTTTCCTTCCTTTACCTATTATATAATATTAATCATCACAATTTTACATTTGATTCTCAAAATATGTTTTAACTATTTTTTATTGTTTACAATTTACCTTTGTTTCAAAATCCGGCAATTCCATTAAGCTCTTATAATCCGCTTGGCATGATGCATCGCAATAGCGAGGTACTTTTGATGCATCTTCTATCGATGACATACAAATCAATTGCATATTTTCGCCATTTTTCCGCCTTTCCGTTAAAGTTCTTTAAAAACATAATATTAACTAGAATCTAATTTCTTTAGCTATCAAATGTAAAAAATAAGGAAAAGTATATTTATAAAATACGTGTATATTTATAAAATACATGTATATTCATACCTGTTTGTTTTAACATATTCACATTCACTGCTGTCTGAATAACATACGTCACAGCTTGTGCTCGCATTGATTTTTGCGTTCATGCTTTTAGGTAATTGATATTTTTGTAGAAATTTCATTAGTGTCTTCGTCATAGTTTTAGAATAAGCTGGCCTTGCCTCTGATTCATTTTGCTACGATAAATTTTTAATGTTTACGACAGATTTTAATTATCAAGGTAATTAAATAATCTTATTGTTTTTTAATATCTTAGAAGAAATAATTTATGTAACATTGTTGCAATTTACCTTATTAGAAACAAAAGACATGAAATCTGCTATAACTGGCACCAAGTTAGATAAATGTTCCTCTGTAATCATCGGCTCTTTTTTCATGGATTCATCATCGTTATTTGTGGATGTATTCTTGACAATATTTTCTATCGTTTCTGATTGTTTTTGATTCCGCGACTTGCTAGAATATTTTCGCGGCGTTTTACATATTCTTCTTGTGAGCATCGCATTATTATGCCTTTCCTGCGTTTCAAAGTTACTGCCCTGCAAAGTAGACAATAATAAATGTCTTGAAACAACATATTTGAACATTAATGTTACAATAAATCTGTCTCGTATTTGTTGTGCGGGTAAGTAGTAAATTGTTTACATCTGAATCTATGGGTAATATATCCATCATAGTTTTTATATCCTCTTCTTTTGCAAATGTTCTATGTTTTCTAACGTCTATTTGATTTGCATCTTTAGAAGATGTTACAGGACTAGGATATGGCCGATTAGAGATTCTTTTAACATTTATTGCATTATATTTCTTATCTTTTTGATGATAATCTAAAAGATAATGTATATAGCTTACAAGTTAAAATAACACGCAAATATACATTTAACTTATTAATATATAAAATGATTTTACATACTTGTTTTGGGTTTAGAAATATTTTTGGAAATTTTGGTATCCGCGCTGTACATACTCAAC